TGCATTGTTTGTTTGCGTGGAACATTTGCATGCAACAATCTCAACCGGTTGGGATTGGCGGCACTTGCGGCAAGCATGTGTTCATTTCGCTGGAGCACTCGTATCTTGGTAGCTTTTCGGTAGAGATGACAGCGGACACGGGTGCTACATATCATCACGCACGAGGAGGTTTTAGGATTCAAGATAGCCAGGGATCACCGTGTCATAATCGGTTATCTTAGTCATTTTTACGCTTTCATAAAGACTGGTATTAAAAATATACGCCCAGAAAATCAGAGATCTTAAAAAACTTGGGAAAATGTTTCAAATTTTTATATTCGTCGTCTCAGTTACTTGAGAAGAAACGTTCTTAAATTCAAGAGGAAATTGCTCTTAAATTTGATTTCTGAGATGAAGCGTTTTGAAATAGAGATAAAAGGAGTCTCGATATTGAGAATTTGAGATTGAATCGATCTTGGCTGACTTTTGAGATCAAGTAGAAAAGAATGTAGTATATAATGTAGAAATCCGAAAATATGTTTAATTATGTTATTATCTGCATTGGCACTTATATAATTCTAATAAAATGTCTTAAATTATAAATTCTTGAACGGAAGAATTATAATAAATTTTAATTTAATTAGCATACAGTTTTTTTTTAAGAGGTCATAACTTTAATGACCATTTGATCTCAACTTCAAATCCTTTTAGGCCCCTTGAGCTTCTTGTTTGTCAAGTTTTTGTGTATGGTCCACTTAGGATTTGTCAGTCTGGCCAAGTGCCTAAGAGCTTATTTTCAATTCTCGGTTACTGACTAGCATTTATCCAAATGTCAACGGCTAATCGACAGTTGGCTAAGCAATTGAAAGACAGATAAATGCGTCGAGTGGAAAATGAATAAAACCCGAAATCAAAAACTAATTTTCCGCCAACTAATTGCAATTAAGGGTAATCTTATTTTCCAGTATTGCAACCCGTTTTATATTTTTTCGTTAACCGTTAACCGGTGGGGGAAATTAATGATAGTTTTATGTAATGGGGTCTCTAAAACCAACACACAGGTGGATGGGTGGAGAAATTCAGAATATCTTGAGTTAATTACGAAATAAACTTTTGTCCATCTCTATTGGGTGGAAAAACGTATTATGCCCGCGAGGGTTAATACATGCGGTTATTATTAATGCCCCTGTGGATGGGGTCCCGTGGTTCGAGGTTGCCGGGGTTTCCAGGGGGTTCGCCTGGGCATGTCGACAGTAAATAAGCCTTCATTTTTCATGGCTCTCGCCTGACCGAATTCTATGCAGCCAGTTCTTGGCCAAAAGCAGCTGGCAGTGCGGTTATGCAAGCTGGAGGTAAAAACCAAAAAAAAAAAAACAAAAACGGGAGAAAGGAGCTGGGGGTACTGCCACCGCATTCCTGGCCCAAAAGACAGCCGGTCAAATGTCAGGGGCCATAAATAAGCTGGCTTCCGCGACACAGATGCTCCTCTGGGCAGCCTCCGCAGAAGCCAAATCCACATCGAAATCCCAAGTGCTCCTTATGGCCAATGCAATTCAAGGCGCGAAACAATTAAACATAGTTTTCATTGCACAAAGAAGCCGACATTGCGCAAATTAATTTGTGCAAAAACAAAAATAGAGAAATAAATAAAAAAAGAGCAATCGTCTCAAAGAAAGCGCGCTAAGCAAATCCAATTTCACCGTCAGCAATGTTTATTTATCTGTCGCCGCAGCTGCATTTACCTCTTTCTCCGGTCAGCCCGGCAAACACCCATCATGGCCATATTTGTGGAGCAATCCACCTTCATCTCGGGGACCCCGATCTCCAATAGACCAAGAGACCAAGCTACCAAAGCCACCGAGCTCCCAACTAATGCAGCCGATCAACAATTTAGATACAATATCGCATATCGCATCATAATGTCGTCGTCGTCATCCTCTTGGCCAGCAAAATGGCGACACCACAGCAGCAGCAGCAACTGTTGCAACTACGGCAGCAACAGTTGCAGGTACGGCAGCAACATCAAGCACGGCGGCATCTTTTTTCGCACCTTGTTTGAATGCTCGCGCCTAATGGACGACAGCAACATTAGTTTGCCGGCCGGCTGGAGACGCTTTTTGTGGTCCAGTTTTGTGTGTTCGGCTTGTTTTGGCATCGCAGATTAAATATATTTAATTAAAAAGAAACACGATGAATGCGCAATTCATTGACACGGCCAGCGGTGGATACACTATCTGTAGATCTTGGAGATATTTTAGATAGATATGGAGAAACCATCAAGAAGTATGCTAATACTTGCGAAGGGCTGGGAGTGCAAATTTGGCACCTTTCCCACGCATCTAAATTCTTTTAAAACCAACCTTCACACACAAATTTCGAGTTTAATTTACAAAAATCAATAGATTTTAGATTAATTTTTATGATCACGAAAAGGTGGAAGAGCCATAAGCCTTAAAAGTTTACACTTTCCTAAAGAACCTATTAAAACATAGGTCAAGAAAGATTTTTACCTACTTATCTACATCTAATATATTGGGTTATTGATTAAAAAACACTTGTTTGTTATAGTAAACATATCATGAAATCAAAAAAATTCGATCTTAAAGATCGTTTTTAAACCTACAATTAATGAACACACCAAATATATATAATATAAAATAAATTTTAAAATACAATATTTACCCACAAAAATAAATCGAAATAAGCAAGAAAACCATGTGAACCTCTTTATAAGAGCATTTGAAAACTACAGACAAACGCTAAAAACAACAACGATCTGCACAAAATTGGTAGCTGTCAACGCCTTTTTAATTGAAAGCGTGTTGGTGTTAAATACTCGTAAGTATCTCTTAGTATGATTTTTGCGCCGATCGCGATATGACAAGCGGGACAACTCCGACGGACGGACGGACTCTTGAGCGGACATAAAGACAGCTGAATGGACAGACGGCTTCGGCTTATCGGTGAACTACTTTTGGAATGGAAATGAATGAAATCAAATCGTATGAATCGAACTGAAATGAGCAGAGTCAACGAATCCAATCGAATGCGAATGCGAATTAATGGGCGCCCCAAACCGACGACAAATCGATTGAAAAATCACACTGGGAGGGAAAAATAAAGTTTGCGTTTAATTTCTTTAACCTTGCTTTCACTTTTCTCATTAACTTTTCGTTGGCAATTAAAATTCAATTTTTGCTCAAAAATCAAGTCAGATAAATGGCCGCACATTTCTCAAATCTCAAAACGGAGCGGAGTGCGCGGGAGCGTGTGAAAAAGGCCAAGACGCCACATACGAAACGTTAACAAGGCTCGGCAAATTTTTAAATGCCAATTTCCGCAAATTATTAAATGAAATTGAGGATTCCGCACGGCTATCTATACATCTTTGGTTATGGGGAATTCAATCGGCCGTGGGGCCTTATATGGTGTGTGGTACAGAGAGGAAAATTGGGTATTCATTTATCATTCCATGGGGTTTTATTAAATTTTAATTTAGATCCAAGTAATAATTAATAATTCCGGGGGCTTAGTTTAAACAATTTTTATCTTTGTATGGAAATTATATTATTTTAGGATTTTTCTATTTTCAAGTTTAAAAAATTAAATTTACAAAACATTTTAAGGTTTCAGTGGTTTTTCAATACTTTAAAAAAATGTCAATACCCATTTCATCTTTAAAACTAATATCAAAATATTTATAAAAATTGAAAAAAAAAATTCCAATGAAATTTCCTGGATCGAAGGGTTTTACTTTACTATAGTTGTACAGAACTGCACTTGAAGTTAAATCGAAACCCTTTTTTTCTGTGTGTATTAGCTGCGTGTTGTGCATTTGCAATTTGACATACTTTTGTTAACCAGCAACTGCAACTGCAGCAGTAGCAAATGGAAAAGCAAAAGCAAAGGCAGCATCTTGCCGCAGCATCAACAATCATAATAATAATGGCAAAACTTAATAGTGGCGCGAAAGTATGACGAATATGTAAACTGCAGCTAATCCCGCAACAAATGATTGCGATTAATCAGCGGAATTGCATTAGCCGGGCCAAAAGGAGTCGCCCCAATGGGCGTAACTCCAACTGTCACAGTCGCTGATTAAGCGAGATTCCCAGTGGAAGATACGAAGACGAGTTGTGGGTGCGTGCGCGTGCAATTATGCGCATGGCGCGCACGGTAGCCCAGGGCATGCAATATGAAACATGCGAATGCCGAATGGGAGATCCCTTTCCTCGAACCCAAACCCAGGCCAAAAACTCATTAACAAGTCAATTAAAAGGCCAGGAAGTGGCCGATAGCAGATGCTCCTCCACTGCCATCCACCTGGATGGGTTACCTACGCTTATCTAACGACTCCATTTGGCCGCTGACTGGCAGCTTCATCTCTCAATCCCAATCTGCCGACCGATCCTGAAACAAATGCGAAAGCGCTCCGAGGAGCGGACACTAAGCGGATGCGCGTAATAAATTAATAAAGCCCGCATTAAGCGCAATGCATATTCAATTAACAATGTCAGTGCGCCGCGTATCTTGCAGATACACTCGGCATTCAGCATTCGGCATTTGAAGTCACATTCGCTGCATTTCGCTGCGCCTGCCGCATTTCCTGTCAGCATTAAAAAAAAAAAACAAATCGGAGGCCTCAGCTCATTATAGCTGCGAGGCCACAAAGTTGCCGGGAGAAACCCATTTTATGGATATTGTAAATCGTTCGGCGAACCTAGGGAATAGAGCCATCAGCAGATGGAACTGTATCTAGCAGATAAATATCTTATAAGATCTTAGCTTTTGTGGGTTTTGCGCGGTTAGAACTTTAAAATGATAATACATTTTATAACTATTTAGGATATTCAAATTTTGTTTACAAAAATGTTTTTTTTTTTGTTTTTAGTGGCCTAGTAAAACGTCCAAAATTTTTACTTTCACTTATGTAACAATTTGAAATGTCAAAGGCATGAATCCCTAATTATCCTCTAACATATCTTTAAAGGCAACATTTTTACAAAAAATATTTGGCCAATTTTCTTGTGTTCTTTATATTTTTTAACATTTAACGGAACTTAACAAACAATTTAAAACATAATAGAACTTGGAGACAAGCTGAATAATCGATATTTGTTTGACATTGATAATGTTTTTTTTGTTAGTTCTTTGGTTTAGTTTATGTTTTATAACTCAGTGTGCTTTCTTGAATGTTATAGACATCCGCGATAGGGCTTCCAATATTTTAGTAATCATTTACTTTTCATTTTTAATACGTCTGCGACTTGGTGTTTTCGCCCGTTCCCTGTGGAACCTTCACCTTCTCATCCTTATTTCCGATCAGGGCCTTGTGTATATAGGGGACGACTCCGCCGCCGGCAATGGTGCCTCTGACCAGGGTGTCCAACTCCATATCTCTGCGAATGGCGAGCTGCAAGTGGCGCGGCGTGATGCACTTTACTTTGCAATTCTCCGCGACGTCGCCGGCCAACTCCAGGATCTCGGCGTTCAGGTACTCCAAAACGGCGGCGGTGACCACGGATGCAGTGGCTCCGATCCGCATGCGAGATGTGATCCGTTTCTTGAGGTAACGGTGGATGCGACCCACGGGGAATTGGAGACCAGCGCGCTGCGACTGCGATACCTTCGTCTTCCTATTGGCCCTTGGAGCCGCGGACTCTCCTTTTTCGCGAGCCATTTCTGTTTTACCGAAGTTTATACCGATCACTAAGTTTGTTTCAGTTTCGAAGGGATTGCTTATCGGGACTCGACTGATCGAATCTTGAAATGTTTTCGGGGGAGATGAGATTTATTTTTAACCGACTACTGAGATTTTTATCAACTCTCGTCACAAACAATTTTTATACAAAACCTTTAGTTTGGAGAAACCTATTTTATACCGAACTTTATACCGATCACTAAGTTTGTTTCAGTTTCGAAGGGATTACGTTTTTGGGACTCGACTGATCGAATCTTGAAATGTTTTCGGGGGAGATGAGATTTATTTTTAACCGACTACTGAGATTTTTATCAACCCTCGTCACAAAAAATTTTTATACAAATCCTTCAGTTTGGAGAAACCTATTTTATACTAATCGCTTGAAATGTTTTCAAAGGAGTTTAGATTATTTTTAAAGAACTAATGTGATTTTTAGTTTTAGTCCTCACAAAGATATAAAAATCCTCCGTTTGGGAGAACTCAGATATACATATATAATAAAGGAATTAAGAAAATCCTTACCATATCCTGTATTATATTATTAAATCTAAGTAAGACATTTCCCATTCTCATTTTCCCTAAAATGTCCCCCTTTCAGTTCCCATTTTCCCAATTATATAGTATTTAATTTTATAATAGTTGACTTACCTCACTGATCTCATCCTCGAGGGCCCGCTGTCTGGTCAGTTGCCTGAGTCGCTCCCTGCGCTGCTCCGTCAGCTGTTCCAGTCGCTGGGCCGCCCGGTCCACCTCGTTGAAGAGGAGCGTCACCTTGCGCAGCTTGCAGGCGGCATCCACGTTGAGGAATGCCCCCGATTGGGCCGATGACGTCATCCGCGGCGATGATGGAGGGGAAGGGGCAGAGGTGATGGCCCTGGCCAAGTCCTGAAGCCTGGCCAATTGGCCAGCACCCATCTTGCGGAGACTGTGGAGCTGGGAGTCCATCAGCGCACGACTGAGGGCGCGATGCTGGCCATAAAGCTGGCGGCGCGTGGGCAATCCCTGGAGATCGGCGGCGCGTATTTCGCTGAGGGCACTCACCAGCCGACCGCCGGCCGTCGAGCACTGGCGCTGGAAGGCCTCCAGTTGGGCGAAAAACTCCCGCCACTTGGTGGCATCGTGATGCCGCTGGCCAATCCCGGCCAGCGCGGCCAGGGCGGGCACGGAGGGCAGCAGTCCAGCGGGCAGCTGCGATGGCGCAACACTTGTCGTGACTTGGTCCACGCTAATGAATTTAACCAAATCCACTGGCGATGGCGATGGCGATGGTGATGACGATGGCGATGGCGACGACGACGGCGGCTCCTGTTTTTTTGTTTTGGGGTCAGAGTCAGAGCAGAGAGAAACAGTGGATTCGTTGTCATTAGTGGACAAGTTCTGCTTTTAAAGCCCGGCCGGTCATGTCGGGGCGGGTTAATTGGCTGGGGATCAGACTAGCGGGAGCTCGGGTCGGGGCGTTAGCCCACTGCCTGGCCTTTCGATCCCACCCTCTGACAGAGGCACAGAGAAAAATGTTTACTATTTGCTATTAATATTTTGATTTTGAAATAATTATTATCTGAATAAATCATATTTTGCGGGCATTAACAAATTATTGAATTGTATTGTATTGTATTACGGATATTTTAATCATGGATCAAAAAGTATTAATATTTCTTATTTTTGTTTTAAGTTTTAAGATACTTTTTATTAGAATTTTTATGGTTTACAGATCAACAGGAACTGAATTTAAAGACAAGTATTTTGAAAAATGATCTGTAGTACATGCTTATCAAATATTAAAATCAAACTATGATGGTCAGTTAGGCCCGGCTTTAAAGGATGTTAGTAAAGTAAGACATTATGTATTTCAATGATAAGAAAAATTAAATGAAAAATTATAAAGTGTTGGAAAAAAATGTTGAATTATATGAACTTATTAGGAATGTTTCATTACTGAATATATTTGGCCTATGGTCATATCCCCCAATTACAATTTTTAACAGAATTTCTCGAATTTCAAAAGGGTTTTCTTAATTTTTTCTGTGTGCCTCCTTTGTGAAACCTGAAAGGTCAGGCTGCCTAAACTCTAAACTCAAAACTCACCGGGTGATCACTGTTATTGTTCTGCTGCCGCTGCTTCTGCTGCTGCTGCTCGTTGCACAATTGCAGCAGACTCGAATCGGAACAAACGGCCAAAATTTCACAATTGCCAATTTGCTTGGCCAAGAGCCGAAGACTTTGGCAAATTAAGTCGATTACGCATAAATGTTGAGACTTCTCGATGGCAATTAAAATGGTAAATGTCTGTTGGGCGGGTTGTTGTTTCTGCTGTTGCTGCTGCTGCTCGGTGCTTTTATGGCCATTGATTGTGGCCGTCGTTCCGGGTGTTGCCAGGGTGGAGAAGGGGCAGGAGCTGCAAGAGCAATGGAAAACGAGCCATGAGTTGTGGTCCAAAGTGGCCGAGAAGGTGCACGGTCAAGTTGCATAAATAACATCAAAAGTGTTTGCTGGCTGTCGATCAGAGGTGGGCAAACCCAATCGATCGGGGAACTAGTTCAATATAATTAATATAAACAATCTTTAAAACATAAATAATATTTAGAGATAATAATATCTCTTTTGATTCAACTTAAGTCAATACCTTGAAATGCCAATAAAGTGTATTTTAGATGGCTTAAAAAACTCAAAAGCAAATATTCAAATCAGGAACTCATTAATATTTAATTGGAAGTACTATGCTTTAATTACTTGGTTTAATCACTCAATTCAGCATCTAATCATGTAATTATGTTTTAAACATAGAGTTGTTTTGCAGCTCCCAAGTTTTCTTCATTTATTACTTCCCCCTAAAACAGAACACCTTATTAGAATTGTTAAGTTTAATGTAGCCTCAGGCTATAATTTTCCAATAAATCATTATAATCTCGCCGAGCATTTCCCGCCTGATTCTGCCAGCGAAATAATCGCTCTTTTCTCCCGCAGATTCCCAGGCTTCCATGTGAACTGGTTCGCATGTGGGCCGCCCAGCTCCGAGAAATAAAAATATAAAAAAACACATAGTGCTTGGGCGGATTGGGTGGTGGTGTCCGTTTGGGGAGCAGAACACACCGACTTGGCTACGCCCAAAACAAGTTCACTTTAATTGGCAATAAGCGGCCTCTGCACTTGGACTCGGCTCTCGACCAGATGAAGCACTTTACCTTTCGGTAACTCAGCGGGGAGAAATCACGTAACTATGACAAGTTGGTAGCCACTTTTAATCAGCGTAAATAAAATTGAAAATTGCTGCTAATGGCAGCTGGTGGGCACTAACAGAAGCCAAGTGCCGTGTGTCCTAACACTTTGGCCAAAGTTTGCACAGCCGCTTGGAAATTCTTGGGCGGCCAAGTGAGGCTAACTGTAAACGCATGCCAGGCCGCGTTCTCGGTTCTTAAGTTCTCGATTCTCACATGCTTCTCAATTGGCAGTCTGAGCCACAAGTCCACCCCCAGGTTGTTTTCCAGATGCAGTTGCTCTTCGCGTTGCAGTTGCAAATTGCACGCAATGCTCACGGGGCCGAGATCCGCTGATGTGGCGTGTTTCTGCGGAGTCTTTGGGTCCAAGACCGCGGCCTAATGATGCCCCACAGTGCGCACAGGCTATAAAGAACGCCTGGCATTTCAATTCCGCGGTAGCCTATATACACGCTCGGAAAAGGCAGCCACCAGCTGATCTTTGGAATTTTGTCACGTCGAGGAGGAAAGTACCCTAACTTAAACTGGTTAACTGGCTGAGGAGCATTAAAACTACGTTCTTCTCTTAAAACGAATATTTCATCTTTACCTTCGACAACAAAGATATAATTCTGAAGTTATTAGAGTTATGAACGTCTACTCAAAACATTCCCATAAAGTCCAATTTAATCAGAAAGTAAAATAAATGATATTCCTTTATAATATATATACAATGCCTTATATTTGATTTTATTTCAGTATATCTAATTATAAAAGTAATATATAACAATGTGGTGGATTGTAAAAGGTATATTTCACAAAAAAAACTTGCACTATAGTGTTTTTTTTGGGTTGGACATTATCAACTCAAATGTAGATTTTATTTAAATTGAAAATAATCTGATAAAACCCCCATACCTAATTTTCAACCCATATTTTGCGAGCCCATTTTGTGGTTCACCTGAGAGACTTTAACCCCGTTTAAACCCAAGCACGGGCGATTATAATTAAAAACCTCAGATGATTTCAAATGCATTTTGGTTTCGGGGACAGCCGCGCATGCTCTCTCCGTCGATTTTGTAGGGCAAGACGCATTAAAATATGAGCACAATCCTAGGTCGAGCGTGTGTAACCCGAGCTTTTCTTTTATATCCGTATTATGCGCGGGCATGCATATTTATACCCCAAGTGGGTACCTTTCGCAGCCGAAGATTCCGAGAAGTGCAGCCCGCCAAACAGTGTCCATAAAAACAAATTTAATTGCAAGCTGTCACACACACGATGGAGGGAGTTGTGGATTGGCATCGTAGATGGGCTTTGAGCTGTGGCTTTTTTCGGAGTCAGATAGTCAGGGAGCCAGGGAGTCGGAGTTGGAGTTGGAGTCCGAGGTCAGACCTCTGGCCCAGACAAATGATGTAAGCTGCGGATAAGCCAAGTGGCCATGTTGACACTGACGCAGTGGTGAAAACTGAGCGAAGAGCCAGCCAACATCTAATATTTGCCATCCATCTGGCTGACATTCCGAATTGGACGGGCAGCTAATGAATACCTTACACATGTCGGCAAACAAACGCAAATAATGTCAATGGTCTGGCAGATCCAACTCGTCATGAGTCAGGTCAAAAAGGAAGAGAAAAAAAAAAGAAAAGCACTGGACTGGATGGATTCGGATTCGGATGAGTCGACTAGATGGGATGCTGATAATGATGATGATGATGAGGCGGCTACAGCAGATGTGCCAGTTTTCAGCTGCTGGCACTGCCAATGTTTGTCAAAGACTTTTCTACACGATCTGGCCGCGTTTTTACCAATTGGCATTGAAGCAATTAACATCAGCATGCAGCTGGATTTCCAACTGACTCTCTGGCCAAAACTGGAACGGGAATCGCACTGCCATCGCTTAGAACTCTAAGTGGCCGCCAGATACCAGATACGAGTGTTCCCCTCTGTCGATTTAGATTTCAGAGATCTCTGATATTTCCAGGAATCGTGTGGCAGTTGGAACTTGGAACCTGGAACGGGGAACCTTTTGCGGAGAACAGCAACAACCATTGCGGAAAAATAAAAGTTCACATCATAAATTTTAAAGTGTCACGAATCTGTCTGGAAAAAAATCATTCATATGCCTGCAGTTATAGCTCCCTCTCACTCCCTCCTCAAAGGGAAGCCGCACACAGTCCCTCGAAAGACGTGCCCGCAAAAGCCAGCCCCACAAACATTGGCAGCCAGCCTGAGTGGAATTCTAATTTACACTAAGCAGCAGGGCAAATGGCCTGTTTGGCGGAGTTTATTGGGGTTTTACAGACCTTTTCCCATGACCTTTGGGATGGACCGCTAAGTGGGGAGCTCGTTAATACACTTTTAAAGCACGGTGTGGCTAGAATTTATTTTCAGACTTTTATGAATGGTCTTTCCTCACACAGTTCATAAAGTTCTCATCTGATAATTCTGTTTTCTATCAGTGTAGGATTTTGATAGAAAATCTCAAATGGGATTTTCTTTATTATTATTACTTTGCTTCTCTATCACGTTATCCTTAAATCTAGACTAATATCCTTTGATAACCCCCAGTACACTTGACCCTATTGTACAAACACTCACTCGTGCTTACCGAATTCCCCCAAACTTATTTGTTTACTCAATAAAACCCCCATTCACCCGAAGATCTAGGGCAGATAGCCAACCCTGCTGGACAGTGTTTATCGACTTTTAGCCCAGACTTTTGTTCTATTTTCTAAGGCAAAGTTCCCGGCTCACAATGCAAGTGCTGTTCGATGTTGCCGTTGTTTCTTCTGTTCTATTCTGCTGCTGCTGCATGTTTCCTTTTAGCCAAAGTGGCAAATTGACTGACGTGCATTCGGGCCAAAACGAAACGGAGCGAAACTCTCGGGGGCGTGGGGAAGTGGTATTGGGGGCCCCGACTTAAAGGCTTAAATGCAGCTCCGCATCGTTCCCAGCGCCATTTGGCTGACTGGCTGACTGGCTGGCGCATTTGCATATCGGCTCGTAAATATGGATGGGCCGACGGGTCTCCCGGGTCTGCGAGTCTATGAACTTATTGCCAGACAAATTGAAATGCCTGATTCGGCTGCAGATGCTGATTCTGGGGATTCTGGGGGGAACGGGTAATAGTACTCGTACTGGTTTTGGTTCTGGCTCTGCGATTGCCTACAGCTGCTCGTTGAGCCCATTCCCATGCGTTACTTTGACACTAAACCGATGAGGCTGATTCTAATTCTGATTCAGATATGGAAATTGAGATATGCACACGGGGAAAAAGTTCTGTACTACATATGTAGCATCAAAGTACCTATACTTTTCCTTTAGCTTCTTATATGATAAGTCTATAATATCTATAATATATCCCTATATTATATCCTTTTTCCAATATATATATAATAGGTTTCCAGGAGTGCCTACAAAATGAAATCCTTTATCAGTTCAGTAAGGAACAGTGTGGAATAGTGATCTATATAGGGTTGTCTTTAAATTCTACTTAGTCTGTTGGTATCAGAAATGTTTTCGGATCTCTGAACTTCAAAGAGATTACCACATGTGTAAAAGAAGTTTTAAGTTCCCTTGTTGGTATACCACCAATATGACCTATTTAGCTTCGAAAAAACACCCCATTCCTGACCGATTTCTGTGGAATTTGTTCTCAGTGCAGCCCAGTAGATCCCCCACTCACCTTCGCTCGGGAATTGTGCTGTAGTAGAGGAGCAGCGTGGCCAGCTCGTAGCAATTGAGGCCGGCGGACGCCACACAGGCCGCGTCCACGCTCACAAGTGGGTCGCCTTGGAGGGTGCGTGTGCCTGGAAAAGGAGTTGGAGAAGGAGATCATGGTTAGCAGATGGGTTATAAAAGATCTCGAGATGTGGGAAATCGCACTGCAACGCGGTCTCAATTGGTGCGCCCTGGGTGGCCACTTCGCCTTCGATAATGTGCGAAAAAGCGTGTGCACATTAATTGAAAAGCGCCAACTTTATGCATTTCCCCAACCGCTTTTCGCCAAACACCAGGAAAATTGCCAGCGGCAAATTGCCTGGCGGGGCGTTACAAAAGCAATTCCAATTTATAAGCAAATTTTTTTCGGATTTCGGTTCAGTGAAAGTCTAGAATTAGATGAGATCGGGCCTGGGGTGCGGCGAAAATGGAAAGTTTGTCACCTATGTCCACCACTGATGGATGCTCACCTGGTAAATAGACGCCGCTGGTCAGCAGTTTCTCAGGCAGCTCGCCAATCGAGCTGGGCGGCAGTAGTTCCGTCTCGCAGGTCTCTGCAGAGAGAAAAAATCATAGCGACATTAAAAGATATTGAATACGAAGTAGTTTACTTATTAAATAACTAACTGATAATATAAAATACATTTCCCAAACATTTATAGTATCTAGAGAGGTTTTAAAACATGATTACTTCGGTTTTTAGCTGTTTAATTGTTGTCTTAATCAAGGAAAATCTTTTTTAATCCTTTGAAAATTAAGTACATTTTTGGATTAAGTCCCTATCCCATTTTTTTAATCACGTTTAAATTAATACATAAAAATACCGTCGTTCTATATTTCAGTTACTGAAATTTTTCAAAGTGTTGAATTAGTTACGAGAAAAGACTTGCGAAAACTCACACGAAAATAAAGTGCACATAGAGGGGGGCTACAGATATGGGTTAATTGTATTTTAAACGCTGGACGGAACCTTGAAAACTGGTCCAGGATCTGCACCGTTTGCATAATAATGTCATTTGATTAATTTCGAGCTGCCGAACGGCCCACACCAGCTCTCTATCTCTGGGAAGGGGCGTGGTCGTCGCCGCCTTGGCTACGGTGCCCCAAAAACTAGTTCGTTATAAATTGTTCGCCTGCCCCGGGCACTTTCGCATGCGACAAATATTTCCCAATGATAAATGCGACACATTTCAGCGTCTCGGGAAATTCTGCACTCGTCGCTGTGAACTCCGGCCACCTGTTGCCGCTTTTCCAATGGTTCCATTGGCTCCAATGGCAGGGAGCCAAAAACGAATGCGACCCGCTGCATTGTAATTCAATAGCCCGACCACAATAGCCCCCGCACTTGCCAGCTGATTTATGCCCGCTTGCAAATTGCACCCACACCCAGCCCAGATCGCAGTTGAACGCATTCCAGGGAACAGTGGCAGGATTTGGACGAAAAGTGACTCCAAAAGGGGTTCTTTTACAACGCTTAACCAACTGTTCATCTCAATTTTTGGGGAATATTTAGGGAATATTTTCTAAATAATGTGTTTAAGTTCAATACAGATCCAAAATTTACAAAGAAATATAATATAACAGTTGTATTTTTAAGATAACCATATACAAAGTTGAAATAAAAATTTAATACAAATTCAGCATCTAAAATATAACAAAATATTGGAATTGGACTATTTTCATTTAAGCTATAATTGTAAAAACTTCGCAAATGGTTATGACAACCTAAACTTAGAATAAAATATTAAAAGTCTACTAATGTTGTTAGGGTGTAGAACCGTTTTTTTCTAGGTGGCTAGATATCCTTAAAAAAAAATCCAGTCAGTCAAGCATTAGCAAGGGTCATAAAACTTTAAGTCTTATGACTCTATGACCTAAAATCACAGCCAATGTAAAACCAAAGAATGTAGAAAAACCAAATGGTGTACGTACTTTATAGATACTATTAATTGAGTCATTAAAATAGCTCCTATATATATATATATTTAACAACCAAATCAAAAAAGTTTCCCTCACTTCTCACATTGCCATTTCGAACCACTGTGCCTTTACACCGGCATTGCTTTGGTTTCTCATTTAATTTTCATATTTTAGGCTTTGACAAATTAAAAGGCATTTGCACCGTTGTGGCTGCCACAGAGACAACGATATTTTGCGGCTAACCACGTCTCGCCGGATGCCGTGGGTTGTCGATGTTAATGGCTAATGGCCAAAACCACTGCTGCCGGCGGACCTCCTCCTTTCAATGGAGCATTTCGAAGGGGCATTTTCAGCCGCCAATAAAGAACGGCTTTTAAGATTTCTCACAAATAAATGGGTACAGATAGAATTGGCAATTTTCGAGCATTGCCAACTTAATTGAGTGTGCTTTTGGCATTTAATGGATTGTGTTGTCATGGCATTACGTTTTCGGTAAACTGTTAATTAATCAAGTGGCATAAGCGAAAATGACATGACATCTCCTGAAGACAATCCAAAGACGCATCCAAACCGGATGGAAGGCCTTAGATCAAAATGAAATATCATCCAGATAGCAAAGAAATAAGTCAATAAGTCAGTTTCACTATCTCATACTTTCGCTAGAATTCAGGGCAAATAAACTGCGTTTATCTTCGGGCAATCTATAGCGATTAATTGATTTAAATGTTGGCCAGCGTTTATGAACAGCAAATATATCAAATTAGCGCCAAAGCTAAGCGCTATCAAAGCGTTCCATTAAAAACCCCACCCCCTGAAAAAGATCGACTTCAAAGCGCCGTTCGAAATGAACGCAAATTTGACTCCAGTTTGGGTTTAACCGACTTTTGGCTGCGGGGCGTTTAATTGAATAGTTGGGGCTCACAGATTTGCATACGATGCAGGCCACGGAGCTAAAACAAATAAGACAAATCACGCCCAGAAATTGCGATAAGCAAGCCACGAACTGGTCGCTCTGTTGCAACTGTTGCAAGGTACACGTGGAGAAATTCAGTTGAATTTTTTACGGAAGGTGAACAACTATTTCTAGTTGATATACAGAAAAAACCACCGAATTGGTTGATGGGATAGGATTATGGTTGATTACTAAACAACGATTTAGGGATATCTACGCATTTTCTAAGACACTCATAACAAACCAACAAATGTCTTATGAATTTCCTAAGACTTTCAAGTTATTATTTAATTAAGCCCACTATTTCAATTTTCTCTGTGTATTAATAGCGCAACAAAATACCGACCGATATCAGGAGCAATTTCTGCATCCTGCGGCTATCGGTGCGCATGCGTAATGCGATATTACGTATACGCTGTGTGGCTTACCTAGACTGTGGTGTTTCCCCGGTCCGATGCTATCGCTGGGCTCCTCATCGCTGTCGATGTGCGGAAATGAGTTGCCCAGGCAAAAGAGGGGCAGGGCCGGCGAGGTGGAGGCACCACTCGCCTCGTTGCCACCGCCTTGGCTCCTCTTCTTGGCCGCCTCCGAGTTGCTGGTCAGGAGCTCCTCGCCGGCACTCGAGTTGGAGCTGGAACTGGAGCTGCTGCTCCTGTCGCTCACGTTGCTGTTCCCAGACGAGGTGGAGTTCATACTGTCCTGCCGGTTGGTCAGACGCCTCAGCATGTAGCGGCTGTTGAACAGTTTGTTTTTGGTAATCAAATCGCTGCGTCGCAATGCGCACTTGGGTGATCCCAATCCCACCAGGCTGTGGTTATTATTGTTGGCCTCATCGAGGGCATCCTCCCCAGATCCATGATGATGATGCATCGGCATCTGCAGCTCGTTTAGCGAAACGCGCTCAATACTACGCTCCACACTAACCAGCAGATTCTGCAGCAGTTGCGGCAACTCGCCGCAATCCGAAGCCATCAGTGCCGCCGCTGCCGTGGACATTTCCAGCTGGAGCACGCTCAGGGGCAACTGGCCGGGATTCTCGTGGTCGATGCAGTGGCTCTGGACGCTCTCCTCCTTGCGGGACGAGCGCCAAACAGCATAGAGGCGCGGTGTGCAGTCCGCGTCGCCTTCTGCCGAAGATTCTAAAAGTTTGGAAAGAATAGGAGAGTTCAGTAAGGATGCACAAACTATTATTAATCTAAACACAAATAGGTATTGCAGAAATACTACTTAAACCCTCCCTCGCAAACGCATTAAATTCCTACTCATTTCATATTTGATTAAATTCCAATGGAGGTTTTTTAATCAATAACTAGAAAGGTCAATTGGCTTGCATTTTCGTTTTACGACTGAGGTCAGCCATAAAAAAGTTATTACTCATAAACATATTAGGTTTGAAATGCCAATAAAAAGTTATACGCATTATGATTTTTTTATTTTATTATGATTTATTACGCATACGTTTTTAGCCAGTTTGTTTAGGGGGGAAAACTCATGATGATGAACTTATGATGTTCTTAAAAAATGTATAATAACTGAAGTAACTAATTTAAAATTGATTGTATTTAATTAAATCATGAGAAACGAATGTATTAAAGTATCTGTGTACATTGTGCAATGAACTTAAATAAGTCTTGGCAAGACGTGATAATCTGTACCAAGATAAATACCTAGAAAACCTTGTATCCCCACCATTCCATTCTAGACCCATTTAAATTGATCCAGCCTGCCCTAGACGGCCGTAAGTGATCGATTATTTTGATTAAGGGGTAGTGGCTGTGCTCGTGTGCCTCCCTGCCATAATCATAGTCATAGGAAGGGCCATGCCAGACGCGACCAGACCAGATCCCCCCGATCCCGGTCGACCCACTTACCCAATTTGATGCAGAGATACAGCTCCGCCGGGCGAAGTGCGTGCGCGATCTCAGCGTCGCTCAGCTGCAAGACCAGCGCTCCATTGGATGTTGCCAAAGGCCAGCCGGGATGCCATAACCAGGACTGCAAGACGATAAGCGGAATGGGTGTAAGTATAAGTGCCCGATTGCAGATTGAGTAACGAAATCATTTGCAAATTTTTATTATTACTGCGATTACATGTTCGGCCAGAAATTGTGCAGGCCACAACACCCGCAAGTGTTAAGCTGCGGAAAGGAAACCGAAACCGATGCCAAAACCGAAAACGATAAAGAAACCAAAGCCTCAACTAAATCCAAAACCAAAACCGAAAACCTAGGCTCCCAATGCCTGGAAAGCGCATTAAAAATGGCTCAGACTGTCCGACGTCAGACGTCAGAGAGCCGGGATATTTGGATATTTGGAGGCCTGAATGTTCGAGGTCTCCCCCATGTTTGTCCGCCAGTTGGCCATATCGGAGATGGCGAGTGTGGCAACTTTTTGGACGCCCCAGTACCCCAAGTGCACAGGAAAAAGATTGGGTGGATGTCTAGTTTAACCATTTAAACACTGGCTTTAACTCATAGAAATTCTGTGTGCCTAAACGTGGATTTAAAAAAAATTGCATTGGTTTTTTCGAATAATACAAATTTAATATGTGAATTTCTCAGAAAAGACTAGACGTAAATTAATTATAAATAAATGGAAAATTATATTACAGGCGAATATGGAAATTTAATTGTTTCAAATTAAAACTAAACCTTAGAAGCTCAGAATTTGTCATGTTTGGTATCTCCATTTTAAAGACCAACATTGAGAAGCAAACGTAAAATTATTGTTCAAGATTATTTCATTATCATTGTTACCAATACTAAAATCACTCGTTATGTTCACTTGTCAAGATTTATAAGTTTATTTTTAAAATTTTGAAAAGTTATAATATTTTACAGACTTTTTAGCATTTATCTTCTAGATGGTATAACAGTTCTTTGATTGACATACATATTTTTATATTTTTTTTCGTGTGTATACCCAAAAAGACCAGAAAAAAAAACGGAAAACGGCACCGCCTGGCGATGGCGATGGAAAATTATAGATAAATCATGCAAGTCAAACTTTTGGCAATTTTTGCTAATTTTTGGTTATTACCCTCAGCGTTTGTGCCAAACTGAAAAGACTGAAAAGCAGAAAGCCCAACGCAGATTTCACCCCTACGGGAATGTGAAATCGAATTTGAGTCCCGCGACTGCAAAATCCCAAAAAATAAAAAACCAAACCAAAGAGAGAGCTCCTAGAGATCCGAGTTAAAGCCCGATCCTTTGGTCAGCTATTAATTGTTGCAATGCGAAAATGTTTCTTCACATTGTTGCTAATTTGCCAGTTGCTCAGATTTTTGAAGCATTTGATTTTCGCTTTGTTTTCGTTTCGCTCTTTTGGAAAATCAGACAGGGAAAAAAAGGTGCGCACTGGCTTGATTTATAGCGCCTTTTGACTCAACACAAAAACTTGGATATTTTATTGGTAACAAAGCGATCGCTGTTGTTGTTTTTATTTTATTGCACATGCCACCCAGCCAGGAGGAAAAGAGAGAGCGATAGAGGGGGAAAAAGAGAGAGACGCGAACATAAATCAATTGTTGTCGCTCTAGAGGAGGTATTCAATGGGGGGTTACGGGTTTTTCGGCGGCCTTCCAGGGGCTTCAAGGGGTTCCAGGGGCTGAAGACGGCCGCCGATCGAAATCCATTCAAACAGAAAATGATCAATTTTGTCATTTGATCAAAGCCGCAGCAACGATCGCAACGCATCGTTTACAATCGATTGAACAAAATGATCATCGCCGATCAACCGAACCACACAACGACAACAACGCAACCACTTCCTCCGCTCTATAGCAGTCTCTTTCCCCCCTTTGCCGTCTCACTCTGTCTGATATTTCGGACCTGCACTAAAAAAAATTTAAATATTGTATACCTTTTAGCCCTTAACTTCGCCCTAGGTCCTTAAAATCTCAGCTTAAAGGTATCTAGTTAGGATCAACTAATATTTTAAAAAGTTACCTAGATTATCCCTTTGGTTCCATTTGTCTTTAGACAAGATTTGGTGATTTTGAACTAGTATGTTAAAGTTACAAGGTAAATGTTTATAGTCATTAAGGCTTTTGTTTCAAAAGTGTTTATAACGTAGAAGAAGAAGTATGATCATAAAGCGTTCCGGATTTAGTATAATTATTCAATATAGGTTTCGTCAAATAAATGTTTCAGACTTTAGAAAGGGAGTTCTAATTTTTAAATATTTTTTTATATCATTGCTTATTCTGTTGTTTTTTTTCCTGTGTGATTCAGGGAGGTATCGTTGTATAAGCCCCTGTCGCCACATGCTAAAATAATGATTTTCGTAACATTTTCTGCATGATTGCTCGCAGCCCCGGCTCCATGCCAAGTTCCAAGTTCCATGTTCCATTGGCGGTGCCGGTGCCTTCGCCATCTCCATCGCTGATCCGATCTGTTCCGATCGGATCCAAACCAATCCAATCCCATCCGAGGGGGTTCTAAATCATTGGAAGCGTTTCAGTTTCGTCGTCATTGACCCAAATGCGCGCGTCGCTCGGACGCCGCTGTCATTGTCATCGATGTTGTTGTAGTGTAGTTTTAGTTTTTTAGTTGGTTTTGGTTTTGTTTTTGATGGTGTCGCCTACACTGAACATTGAACCAACCCTCTCTTTGCGGCGGCACTGTCATATAATGTTTGATTTTATGTCCAAAGACAAGTTGAACCATTGAAATTCCTATGCAAAGAACAACTTTGAAGGACAGCTGGTGGTCGAGAAATGTACATAAGTCTGTCGTAATTCTAAATTCTTAAATCACCACATCCATCAACTTTTATACAAAGTAATGTATGTATGTTTTCTTTTTAAATGTTGAATCATTTTGTTTAATATTTTAAGTGACCGTTTAAAATCTTAAATCTTAGGAATGGCTGGCTATGAATACTTCTAGATATACCAACAAGTATTTGGGCTATAATCAAAGTCTTTTCTATAAAAACATTTCAGAAATTTGGCGGCCCTGTTCCTTCTCAGAACTATAGACACAAAAAGATGAAACCAAGGGTATTTCACCACAAAGATGCGAAAGTATCTTTTTTGTTCTGGGTCTTGGGTTGTTTTCAATTTGTTGCGGGGCGACAAATTTCCGTTCCATTGGCGGCTTTCGGCTTTCGAGTGCCTGGCCATAAATCTGCGGGCAGATTTTGTCGAGGATTTGTCTGAATCCTGGCCCCGGATCCGAGCATATATCATTCCATCATTGTTTGTGTGTGTTTCGTTTTTTTCGTATTTTTTGCCCATTCCCACGCCTTTGATGTTGAAAACTAAATTACCCACCGGCAGCCGCAAAACGAAGCGAAATGAAACAAAAACCCATCAACAGGCGGCAAAGTCAGCGGATCGACAGACCGTATATATGAGTAATCAAGCCGACATGCCCGGCATTAGCATATATGCAGATATAAACATATCTGTATCTGGATATGTGTACAATGTTCATATATAGTATATATGGATGGATGGTGTGTGGCCAAAGAAACCAAGTATGAATGGCCATGTCCCGGCGTGTGGCGCCCAGCCTATGGCAATTATTCAATGCGGGTGTAGTCGTACACGGATTTGGATTTTGGACTCCGCCGGGGGTTTGTTGTATCTCTGGATATCCGAAGAACCAGGGACCACCTTCGGTGCCAGCGAAATTACGCATGCACAGGGCGTTGCACAAAAATAAAATAAAATAAAATGAAGTAAAATAAAATAAAGCGAGCGACACACTCATCGACACGTTCACATGCACTTGGCTTGTTTTCTCAACAAATTGTGGGGTAAAAATGTGCGCTGCTGGGGCTCAGATTTCGGGGTATTGCCAATTTTTGGCTTCACATATTTCTCCTAATTTCTCAGCTCGAGCCTTAATTAATTTGTTGGCCAAAAAGGGCCACACCTGGTCAAAAGCGCCGCCAGCGATGGTTAATTATGATGTGTAAGCGGCGGCCTCGGCCTTTTTTTATTTCTCATTTTATTTTGGGTGTCTATGATTTTTTGCTGGCGATTCCGTTACTTTTTGGCCAAATTGTGTGTGATGGCCAACAATTGATATTCGGCATTTTGTTATTTAATTTTTAATTTGCCGCTGTGGGTTGAGCAAAGAGGCGGTATTTCATTAGTGAGCGAAAAATGGCTTTGAAGTTGAATAACAAACTTCTTTGACGGGAGGAACATTGCGAAGATTATGTAAAGCCCCTGAGCAATTTGTTGTATTAATAGCGATAAATAAACTTTCTTTGCGTTTATCTGAGTTGATAAATAAACATTCAGCGAGGAAATAAATAGGCTATAAATCATGAGGTAAAGCTGTTAAAAATTTCATTTGAGTGCTTATTAGTTTTCGAATTATTTATACGATCGTTTCGAAAAGTTATATTACAGCTATTAATATGGGCATTAAAGCTGTCAATTGTTGTTAATAAAATTGAAATTTATAATAACACTTTGTTTCGCTTTTTATAATTTATTGCGCTAAAGTGCTTTATTATTTAACTGCATTCTTTGGATAAAATCATGAAACAAAAGATTTCCCCAACCAGAAATAATCTCTATGGCTCTAATTGTTTACTATAGAAGTTTATCGCTTTGCTGCCCCAAAAATGGGACCATAAAAATCACTGATCTTTTACTTTTTTGAATAGAATAGCTGGCTATTTTCGCCACTTCCTATTTGGTTGCTCTCATTGATTTCCTGCTCCACATGTTTCCCGTGCATCAATTACCATGCCCAATATTCCCGATTGTCTATTAATAGGCGTGTTATTTTGCACTCCCTCCCACCAAGTTTTTTTCTTCTTTCAAAATTTTTCTGCAAGCTTTGAACTCTTACATCAACAAAGCGATTCACTTTATATTTATTGCCGTCAACGTCACATTTCCGCTTGATCTGGCGCGGAATGGCCATCAACGGAACGTCATTGGCACCACCGACATTTGCAGTGGGATCCACAATGCACCACCATCCCAACAACAACAACAACAACAACATCACATCCATATCCATGAACACATCCATGACCACGTCCCTGTAGATGCCACATTTGATTCGGATCACTCCGGCCACACCTACAAATTGTTTGTGCTCCCCCATAGTATGTGCATATGTGACGCGGGGGCGGAGGAGAACCGCTATATACTTTTAAATATATAATATACACGGAGAGAAATGGGCTATTGATTCAGCTTAAAGTGGATTTTATGAGAATATCAAATAAGTGAATGGGTACTTAGTACGACGATAATATCAAACTAAGATTTATGATAATATCATGGTAATGAATGGTAAGTTTAAGGATAGAACAAGATATTATATATGTGATATTATAAACACTTGTACAAGCGATGTTCAGTGATCACATATCAAATTGTTGATGATAAAAATAAAAGCTGTAAACTTCGGAATAATTAAGAATATTGATTTTTTAAACAACATAATATAAATAGTAGTAAGTATAGAACTTAGTTGTTCATATACCGTTCTACCTCGAGTTCCCTGGAGATCTCTATAGT